TTATCATACTGACGTCAGTTGATTAAATACCATCTCCATGGAAACAGGCGGGTGGCGGACCCCGTGTGAAAGACTGCGCAGTGAGGCTTTAAATACCAAAACTACGCAATTGTGTTTACATGCATTCAATGGAACCCCAACTGCAGGATCGACTTTGCAAAACCTCACGATTACGATTTATCATTTAACAATCGTTTTATCATGAGCGTTCCTTGCTGTTCCCACGGAGCAGCAGCAGTAGTTGGACAACAATAGCGCGCTAACAAGGGCCTTGCTGAAGTGAAGGCCAATTCAAGGAAATTTTCACATAAATCATAGTGTCTAAACGCCACACGAGCATTTTCACGGGGGATGTAACGTTCACGTTAATATACAACAGCGAAGTCCATTGTAAAAGCACTAACAAAGCAAAAAGCTACACGCCACTAGCCGCGCATGCTAACGGCAGAGCCCGACACAGAGCGCAGATGTGAGGCCGAGGACAGGACTCCATCAGGAGGGGGAAAGAGGCTTACTCGAGAGAATATGTATATTTAAGAATAAAATACGTCTTTAAAAAATCTGAGGAAGATACTTACCACGCGATGCGTTTGTGTTTGCTGTTTGTGAGAGCAGGAGGGCGCCAAAAGCGAATGCACAACGCGCTACGGGAGCCGGGAGAGGAGGGGGATCGGCCCGAGTCGAGTGGACACGTGACTTAGAAGAGAGCTATTCTATTGCTCATTCACTCCAAAAAGAAAAAAATAATGCATTTGTCTCAAAACAGTAGACGGTGCATCTTTAAATTGCTCGATTATTCTGACATAACTCCGAATAAGATACATTATTCTGACATAATTTTGGATGTAAGTTTTGTGGGTTCCTTGTTTTATTAGTGATTTTGATCTTTTTTTGTTATTGTTTTAAAAAGTTAGATCGGCCGATGGTTGCCTCGTTTCTGTCAGTGTACCCTAGGGCAGCTGTGGCTACAGTAGTAGTTTATCAACACTGTTAATGGAGTGAAAGAATAATGACATGTAAAGCGGCTTTAAGTGTTCAAAAAAGCGCTTTATAAAACCCCCGCCAACTATTCTCACACACACACTAGACTCATTTTAATGTGGGTGAAGTGACTTGCCTAAGGACACAACGACAGTTTGGAACTTTACAGCCTTCTCATGAAAATCATCTTTCAATCAAGCAAAGAACTGTCAACATTGAACAAAAGAAGATATTTATTACATGTTTTTATTTATCTTTTATAATCAAACGCAGCTGATTTGGTTATAAAATATGTATTGTTATCTTTTTCAGCTGACCATTTATTTAAAACAAGAACTTAACGCTTTGTGGATATAAAACATTACACACTGCACAAAGTGGGGCACAAGTCAAAAATGTATTTGAATTTGAGAACATTTTGACTGCTTTAAAACAATGATTTGTCAATGGGACGAACAAAATGATCTTGATTTGAAAATATACAAGAAATGTTCCCTTTAGAATGAGAATATAAAGCAACAAATCTTCAAATAAGACTAAATGCCTTTGTCCCATTGAACAATCTTGTCAGAATGTCCACAAATTAAGATAAAAAGCACTTGATTAAAGGATTTTTGATATCACGTTTATCACTTTATGCAGTGCACACATTAGTTCACGTTGAGGGTTCTTGCAGTACTTAAGAATGGTGAAACAAAACATATATATTATTTTGGAATTTCCTCAGTAACAGGAGATGTGGATGATATAAATCGTATTACATATCGTGAAATGTATTGCATATCATACAAACATATCATACTTAGACTTTTGAAATATTAACTGTTAAGCATATACAAAGTGTACATTCTCAACCTAATTATTATTTCAGCAAAGTACATTTTCAAGTGAAAAAAGTTTTTGTTCATTGTTCAAAACAGCAATGTTTTTTCTCGAGTATTGAACCTTGCAAGAATCCAGAGGCAAGTAACAGGTTTTAATGAACTGTGAGGTCCATTTACTGTTTACACTGGCTTTGGTGTGTTTTCATGTGTACCTCCCCATGGCAGTTTCTGTACAGTGATATTACTGCATATTTGTTGTTGGTATGGATTTTCCCCCTTATCTGATGTCCATGTCCCCCCATCCCCCATACGGGCTGGGCTGGTTTGCTCCTGGCTGACCCCTCCCCCCTCAGAGACTTCACAGGCAGAGAACTGGGATGGACTAGTTTGGGCTATTGGTCGGTGTGTCAAATCTTTAAGCAACATGTAGCAGGCCAAATGCTGAGGCCCAGAGCCTTCCAGGTTCTCTCTTTCTCCCGCCATCTCTTCTCAGGGTGTGATAATTTCTGTTATGTCTGAATGTATCTTGTAATAATTAAGTGTTATTACATGTCCTCTTTCATATCTATTGGTTTGGGCCTTGTATGAAGAGCAACGATAACATTTTCATGATTACAAGTGGTCTTCAAAGACAAGGTGTATGTATGGGCAGTTGTCCAATAAAACAGTATCCCCGCTTTTCATTTAGATGGTTAAAACGTTATCTGAACGTAACGTAAAATGCCCAACGTGAGATGAACTACTGCTGCTACATTTCTGCGATGGCATTTTGTCTGAAGTTGTGACACAATTTGTAACTTCACAGATTAGGCTTGGAAGAGCTGGTATGGCCACTGTCTGCCAGTTGCCACTACATATGTAATCTGAATAGTCAGATTATCAATTTGATTTCTGAGAGTGCTTTTCTCAGACGTGAGAGCCGCTGGTCAAATAGATTTAATTTTATTGACAGCTTCCTGACTTTCTCCAAATCCTTCTGCCACAAACATTTGGAAGCATTATATACAGCTGCCACGTCTCTCAAAAGTAATTGTAACTTTTGCACTTTTTGTTGTTTACAGTCATAAGCTTTTTTACTTAAAATTCACACACAGTGAACTATGAATTGAAAGCAAAATTACACGATTGTTATTTATAAACCTCTATTCCCACCTCTACACCTTCTCCACCGACTCCCACTGATGACTGCTGTCGTTGTGTCCTTGGGCAAGACACTTAACCCCACTTTGCCCAAAGCCCCCACTGAAAGATCAAGGCTATGCTCACACTCAGAGAGCAGCTGTCCTCCTGTGGACTCACCACCTGCAGAGGGTCAGTGAGGGGCTGGTGCTGTGAGACTTGGGTGGCATCTCTGACTGCCACCCCCCTGACCCAGAAATGGATTAAAGGGTAGAAAATGGATGGCTGGATGGATGTTATTTATAAAAAAAAAAAAACATTACCATCACACTAATGACTGACATTTGCCAAATGTCAATATTCCCACGGCTGGGTTCGAATCCAGGTCGGGGCCTTACTGAGTGGAGTTTGTGGGTTTCCTTTGGATGCTCCTGTTTCCCCTACTAATAATAAAGTAATATGCTAAAAGGGATAATAAAGTATAACTCAACTGAAAACTTTTACACACCGCACTTTAGTTATTAAATAGTAACAAAAGTCGTGGGTAGTCTATGAAATTTTGATAAGAAACAGAATGTCTCATGTTTAATTGTTGACAATGTGAAAAAGTTGAAGGTGTATCAGGTGTTGAAGTTGAAGGTGTATCAGAACTTTGGAGAGACATTGTATATGGATTGTGAATTTCTGATTTGACGCCAGATAGACTTAAATCTGAAAAGCTAATATATCAACCCTTGGTATTCCCAGTGCCGTTAAGACCTTTGGTCATTTTAACAAAGTCAAATACTTGTTTTTAATGAAATACTTTGAAGACGTGATCACAGACCAGAAAGAATCTTTTATTTTTCATCAGAAACATTGCCCTAGAAGCCAAACCATACCAGCAACGCTGAGCAACCACCGTGCAGTCAAATGTGTCCCAAGCAACGGAGCAAAACTGTTCAAACTCATAAAAACACAGGAATCATAAAAAGTCAAACAGAAAATATAAAATAATTGAAACGCACAAGTGTAAGGACCAGACCGGGCCACTCTCAGGGACTATGTTCTATAATTTACTCAAAACAAAAACTGAATTGGATTTACTTACAAAGCGCCGAATATAAATAGTGGTGATTAAATTTTTTTTATAATTTAAACTTTTAACAAATGAAGCATGAGGTAGAAAAGTAGACTAGTACTAAGGGGCTAGACAAACGTGTTAATTAGGATTGCAGAATTGGCCAAATTATTATGGGAACTTAAGCAAGGGACTGTTCTAGAGCACAAAATTAATTTGGTATAAAAAAATGATTTTTCTACATTAGTCACTTATAATTGTGTTAGACGTGTGTATCATAATTGAATAATTTCTGTTCACGTGAAAACAAAACTCATGTGTGACTGAAGTTCTCCAAAATAAATTACATCAAATTTCAACGGTGACTGTTTATTCCCATAAATTCCCAATAATTCACTAATTGTCCAAATTTGACTAGTCCAAAAATGTAACCCCAATAAAAATAAATGCAAAAAAGCCAACATGAGACATGTGTGCTAAGGCAAAAGTCACAAACCCGGCCCTCTATATGAAATCATGTGACCCGCACGTAAGATCCACACCCATCCAGATCAACCTGGTCTGAACACTGGAGCTGATAATAGTCGTTTTCTTTTGGAAAGGCCTCTGCTTCACTGGGTTTAGCTTTGTGCTTTGGCCGTGGCCCGAGTCATGCGCTCTGCTTTAGAAAAGACGAGACAGAAAAGCATAAGAGGAAGCAGAGGAAATCAACACACGAGGACCAGGTGGTCAGAAAAAGCATGCAGGTTAGAAGAGGGGACAGAGAGAAGAGTTTACTGCAACATATACAGCAGCATCAACACAATTTGCAGATCACCACTTTCCAAAACCATCTGTGCTCCTCTCATGGTCGCTGGTCCCTTAGTAGTACTGCTCCAGTGGAAACGCACACACGCCCATGACACACGCGTTGCTACATTAGTCCTTGTTAGTAGGGCTCCCCCTGTGGCGAGTCCACTCAGTGTCAGAAAGAAAAGGCCAAAGTATGTTCATAGATGTCCACAGGCTTGCTGGAGTCACTGCTTCTTGCCTTTCTTGCGTTTGTCTGTTTTGTTTCCTGAGGCCCCTGCCACGGCGGGCCTGCGCGCGGGCACCAGCACCACTCTGCCATTGGCTCCACACTGGAGGGAGTACATGTCAGGGGTCAGGGGTTGTCCCAGAGGGTCTCTGAGCCTGGCCAGCACATCTCTGGTGAGCTGTTGGATCTGCTGGCCCACAGCACACATGGTTTTAGCTGTGAGGCGTTTGTCCCGCAGCAGGCGCTCTCTCTGCGCCTGCAGGCGAGACACCTCCTCCTGCAGCTCTGTGATGGCGTCCAGTTTGCGCTTGCGGCAGTTCTGAGCGGCCAGCTTGTTCTTTCCTCGCCTGCGGATGTCTCTGAGCAGAGTGACCTGATCTGCTGAGAGGCCTCGAGAGTCCAGCACCTCCAGGAACTCCTCCACAGGCATGTTGACAATCTGCAGCACGGAGAAGGGCAGGCACATGGCACGCGCTCGCATCTCGTCTCTGCTCAGGTCTCGCTCCTCGCTATCGTCCTCGTCACTGAGAGCCTCCTCTTTGATGCCTTTGTGTGGGTACGTGAGGGGAAGGTGGGAGGCGTAGCTGTGGTCATGCCACACACTCTCACTCATGTCTAGATCCACGTCCAGAGGAGACCAGGAGTGCTCCAACAGGCTCTTTGAGTCCACCTCGCTGCTGTAGCCTGTGGCCCCACACTCATCCTCACACAGAGAGGAGGAGGAGGACATGTCTGAGGAGCCTGTGGACACAAGGACTGTTAGAAAGAAGCACACAACTCTCATATTCCAACTCACTGTTCATAGAGCGAAAAGAACTTCAGCTGCTGGACTTGGTCAACTTTAAAACTGCTCAAATTGTGTTCAGGGAATCTCTCAAATCTCTGCCTCCTAAGTTACAAAAGTTGTTCCATGACAGAAATGCTCACCACACATATGTGTGTGCGTGTGTGTGATTGACAGTTAGGCATTTTGTTGGAGGGTATATTTTTTTGTATTGTAGTATGTGTCTGAATGGAAGGGAGGGGAGTGGATTCATATAAGCTTTTTGCTTTGATCAGGTTGTTTTCTCTTATCATATTATCCTGTGAAACATTGCTTACATCTTGTGCATTTTTGAAATAAATTTGAAATACTCATTTTAGTATGAAGGGGATTGGGACCATATTAGAGCCATGAACAACCCTAAACCAACACCAGGGGCCTGAAGCTCACGTACGCACAAAACAGAACCAGAAAGTGTGTATCGATTCTGTCACGACAAGTCTGACATGTGAAGAAGCGCAGCTCGCCACGCCATCTCTGAGGCTTACTTAGAGACACGCACTTTACAGATACTTTATTGAGAGGAACCTTTGAAACTGTTGACATAAGTTGACATAAATTATCATAAAATCCACATGTAAAGTGGGTGACATAATTTAATACAGTAACAAGCACATTTGAATTATGTATCCAAATGTTACGTGATGGTTGTGTGCATCCGGTCTGACCATGAGCTGTGTAGTCTGATGGGTGTATCATGGTCAAATTAAATGCATTCCTTTTTATGCCGCTTTCAGACCGGATCATGCGTTGGGTCGGCTTTCAATGCAAAGTCAATGGAGCGTCAAAAGCGTCAAAGCGTCAAAACCATTGACTGTATATATTAACGGACAGAGTCACGCCTATCTCCGCCGTTCATAGGAGTTGGCCATGAAAAGTGCTTTCATGGAGCAATCCAAGATGGCCGCGAGTGGTCCCGCCCACAAGAAAATTGTGAAAAAACGCATCTGTGCATGCGTCAGCTGGCGCAGCTCCATTCATTTGAACGAGAGACTTCAAAAATTCCCCGCAAGTAAACTAGAGTGGACCAAAACAAATCACCCCCCTCAGCATTGACACACATGTGGAACGGAGCTTTGGGCCAAGAGCCAACTTTTGGTCCATCCTGTAAAGACGTTTTTGAGAGGTCTGCTAACGCTATATGTTAGCATTGGCTAATTCTTCTTCTGGGTCCACCCCCAACGGCCCGGGGTAGTATTGCAAGCATGTCAGCGCACGTCATTTTGGCCACTTTTGAGCTGGGACCCTCCCCCACTGGTCAAAACGCACAAGCGTCTCGGAATGCACGCACAGACCACGCTGGGAAGTCGAAGGGGAGGAACGCAGGAGATGGATTTTGCTGAACCTTTCTTCTGGACCAGGCATGTCAAAGTCAAATACATCATTTACATTTCAGAACGTTTGAATGAAAAAAATAATGTTTTTATGCACAAAAAAAGCGATTGCGGCAAACCCGGAAGTGCTGTTATCATGTATTGCACATAATAGGACACATCTGCAGAGGATCTGATTATGGATATAGGCTCAGAATATACGTAAGTAACTCAGCGCGGATGTTCAGAATTCTTCAGTTTTCATGTAGTTCCAGAGCCTAATAAAGGCTTGATTCGGAGGTGCCGTGAAAACAAACAACTGAGCATGCGCGCAGCTGCGAGCATCAGCGCCGATGATTGACAGCCCTTGGCATGACAGCCCTTGGCATGACTCGATTGGTTAACCTCGACGGCACCGTGGATTCTGAGCTATAGCTAAGAGAAGGGAAGGCGGGACTTGCCCGTGATATTAGAATTAATAAAATGACTTATTTTATATCAACATTTAAGGCCAGATTTAACACATTTCCTAAAATTTGTAATTCATTTAGAGTTACAGACGATCACTTTAACTCATGGCCTGGCAGCCTATTTCGGAACAGGTACTCCCATATTGCCAGTAGTTTCTGATGATTTTTATAGATTTTTCAAGACCCACAGAATATTGTGTACTAGGGGTGGGCGATATGGCCTAAAATTCATATTGCGGTATAATTTGGGACACAGACGGTAGACGGTATATATTGCGGTATAATTTGGTGTGTGAATTTCAATATAGGTCTCGCAGGTTCTTGCATAAAAAAGTCAAGATTGTTACTTATTTATATATTAGAATCTAATATATATATTTTTTGAGTTAGAAAATCAGTTGTGAGACGAATAAAGAGACAAATGCTGTAACATACATTATTTATGAATGTTACAGTAAATACCATTCACTGTAAAAGCAATTTTTAAAAAGAAAAACATATGCATTCATTTAAAATATAAAAAACTCACAAATGTTGAAATCAAAGTCTGTAGAAGTTAGACATGGTCATTAGTTATAGTGTCTGAGAGTTTTGTGCAGGTACATGACTTCAGTAAAAGCTATTGTTTGTTTACAAAGCTGGTCTGGACATTTGTTGACGCTCCCTAAGTGTTTTTCTCTGTGCTTGCAGTGAACTGGATGATTCAATGGATTTATGATCATTAAAACAGCACATTGGATTTGAACAATTGATGTAAATAATCATTTTGGCACAATTAATTTTGTTTAACAAAGCAGCTTTCGTGAGATATTGACCGCGGAGGTCCGAATCTGACGCTAACTTTCCCAAACTTCTGCTGTGATGCTGCGGACACGGCACACGCATGGATCTATTTTGGCTCACGCTGGCGCTTCGAGCCTATGCCCCTTCGACACTGATTGCCCAAAAGGTAGACGCTTAAACTGTGATTACTGTGTGTGTATTTACCTCTGCTGGGGCCGCTGTGACAACAATACAGAGACAGAAACACTGTGTTAATGCCGTGCTGTTGTTCGTTGTTTCTAGTGGTGTCTGCTAGGCTAATGCTGCTGAATGCCGGTTTGTTTTGGTCCTTTCTGCTGGCGTCAGAGCCTGCGCAATTTGATGACATAATGACCAATTGCAATATGCCGGTATAACAAAAATCTCTACCGTGGGCCAAATTTATATTGCATACCGCTTATACCGTTTATATCGCTAGGCCTGTCACAATAACAAATTTTGCTGGACGATTAATTGTCTCAGAAATTATTGCGATAAGCGATTATATTGTCGTTCTGAGATCATTTGCATCGATTACAATGATAATGCAGGTACACCTTTTCAAAGAGAAATAAACTTTTATTTTTAACGAATATTTAACGCTAGAACACAATAAACTGATTGTGTTTTAGATGCATATGCAAGTTTGTTGTGTTGCCGCTTTTAACTGCAACTGTTTTCCAACAAATGCGACACACCGACTCGCACATGTTCAGTGGTTCACCACGGGCATTCGGAATCCGAAATGCTCCCACACTGCAGCTGTCGCGTTTGGCTTGGAAACCAAATCCATCGTTTTGTCCCGCACTCGCAACTAGCTTTCTCTCTGCGTAGTGCCTACCGGTAAACTTCTCTCACGGCTCCTCAGCTGCACTCTGTGGGCTACGCCAGTAGTCCCACCTCCCCACACACCAGGCGAATGACAAGTGACTAACATGTGGGTTCACCAATGGGGCGTACAGAAGTCCTGCTGCGGTATCGCCCACCGGAAGTAGCGGGGCGGGCTTTGATGCTAACAGCTAAGCTAGCGGGTTTTTTGTGTAAAGTTCTACTCCAAGAATGCAAGTCTGCAGCATCTCTGTGTTCAGAGACCTTCTAGAGACTTTATATAACAGCAGTATGTGTTCACGGAGGTGCGCCATAAGTTTATTTTATTGGTATGGTACGGTACTTCTGCATCGGCGAACACGCTAACGCTAGCTGCGCTAGTATAGTCACTAATCAAGCCTGAATGAGAACTCAGCTGCCGGCATATGTTCACAACTACTGTGTCCCCCATTGTCAATCCTGGTTAAGTCCTGGTTTAGGTCCTGTTTTGGCTGTATTTTGTATTTTTGAGTAATTTCCGTCTGCTTGCTAGACCGCTAGTGTTCCCGTGACCACTTTGCGGCTCTCTGACCCGAGAGAGGGGGAGAGAGAGACGGGAAAAACAAACAAGCATGTAAATGGGATTTATCGCGGCCAGAAGTTATTGAGCAAATTTTATTTATTGTGCGATTAATTGATTTATTGAATATCGCGACAGGCCTATATATTGCCCAGCCCTATTGTGTACTATGACTATCTAAAATCCAAAAACAGATTCTGAAATAATAGACTGTCTACTTTAATCAGCAAAAAGAATTTTGTTTCTAGCTTGTAATCCCCAGTTGAGTAGAGGGAAGTTTTACTGAAATCACCAAAAAGCTGAGAAAAAAGGAGGCACAACAAGTGCATCTAGCAGTTTTCAAACCATTCAGAGAGCGCTGCTGCCACCTGCTGGCTCGATTCAATATGCTCAAGCTTATCCCCATACATATTAGATATAATAGACATCTGGGAACATGAAAATAGCGGAAAGCGCAATTGACGTAATAGTGTGTCAATGGCAGGCAACGGGCCATGTAAAATTGACACATGTGCTCTGGACGTTCGTGCAGCAACCAAGCAGAGAGCCGCAAAGTGGTCACGGGGACATTAGTGGTCTGAGCGAGCAGACTGAACATACTGTAAACAGTCAAAACAGGAGCTACACCAGGACTAAACCAGGGTTGACAATGGGGGACATAGTGCTTGTGAACATGTGAGTTTTCATGCTCCCGTGACTTTATGCAACTGCTTCGAGTGTGTTCGCCGAAGCAGAAGTACCTTTTAATAATAAAATAAACGTATTGCGCACCTCCGTGACCACATACTACTGTTACATAAAGTCCGTGGAAGGTCTCTGAACACAGACACGCTGCAAAGCTGCATATTGCAGAAGATCTGTACACAATAAGCCGCTAGCTAAACTCTGTTAGCATCAGAGCCCGCCGGCTACTTCCGGCGCGCGCCAGGACTTCTGGTCTGAAGACCCCTGCGTCTGAAAACTAGAGAACGTGCTTTCAGCGTTGGCGGTCTGAAAGCATTAATCCCTTTCTTATGCTCTTGGTCAACATATGGTCAACAGAGGCGTGACAAGGGATCACGAACACAGATTTAGCTCAGGTTTAGCTGCAGAGCTTTTTTACATATGTGAACAAACTTTTTTGAACGAATTTGTCCTGATGTAAATAAGTACAGATTAAGTATAATACAAAGATAAAAGTTTTGAAGACATTATCCAAGATTCTCTTTTACTGTATAACAAAAACATAGTGCTGTGCTCTAAGATTGAATCCTCCTCCATTATGGATATGTCCAGTTTAATAACCAGATGCCAATCCTGTGGCAGAAACAGCAAGAGCCTGACAAGTCCATCCAGCTCTCATCTCATATGTTCTTCACCCTTCATCCTTTTTGGAGTTTATAGCATAGCATGTTTTGATTCTTATCTCTTGTCCTTTATGCCACTTGTGGCTTCATAACCATTTGTTTTCAAGAAGAACAACACATAGTGAGATGGATTAAGAGTAAAGTTATGCTTGAGCCATACCTGGAGAGGTGGGCCCCCCGGAGCTGCTCTCCAGGGACAGACCCGAGTCAGAATCAAAGTCCTCCAGCAGCTGAGGGTCCAAACAGCTGAGCAGCTGCTGGTCCATGGAGTCCAACCCCTCCAGTCCCAGTTGGTTTATGTGGTCGAACACAGCCTCATCAAGAGCTCCACCGAGGCCCTGAGACGAGCTGCCAGTGTAGTTACACACCGAGGCAAAGGGTAGAGCGGCCAGGCCCAGAGGCTGGCCAGGGGATGAGGGCTCAGTGTGCCTCTGCTGCTGTGCTGCATCCTGCAGGCTGATGTCCCCTCTGAGGGCACTGCACAAGTCTGTGTCCAGCTCCGGGAGAGGGGCGCTGACCAGAGAGTCCAGGTCCTGAAACACACACATACCCCACTTAATCTGCACATCTGCAACAATAGTGACATTCTGAGACTCTCAGATGTGTGTTGTCATGTGTCATGTGTGGGTTAATCCTGCGAGTGTGTGACCCCCATGGAGCAGAAAGAATCAGGTTTTGTTTCACCGTTTCTGCAGCTGGACCAGGCCCACTTTCAAAGAGCTTATCACCCGCACACAGGACTGTACGGAAAAGCGTCTTTCAACACAAATGTGCTGCATACAAATTTTTCCCGCTCGAAACACGTCTTCCAGTCAAAATACATTGAATACAGGTTATTTAATAAGAATCTGATTTGTTTGACAACTATCAGCACCAGGGTCTGCCTTGCTCTGTCCTGGGCCATGCAGGCAGGCACCATTCAGCAAAAAGCTCTGTGCTTGATCTGCAGTGATCATGCAGACTGTCTGGAAGTGTGAGAGAACCCACAGAGAGGTCAGAAGCATGGCTTTGAACCAGAACCAGATTACTTACCCTGAGCTCACACTGCACACATTGTACCGCGAATGCGGACCATCTTGTGAATCAGGCATTTGATTTTAAATCCTGATACGCGCCAAAGTGATTGACCAAAGACAATATCAAGCAGCAGGCAGGTGCAGCAGGTGGGGGACAGGAGGGTGTCCCATGTCTTTCCCCACTGCTACTGTCAGACAGTAGAATGAACACTGCTGACCTGACCATGCCTGAGTCATGCCTCTGTGAAATGTGTTCACTGTCTCCAGACTCTTATGCTGATCATTTGTACAGTAGTTTCAGCACTGCAAATATTAGCACCCACTTATTACTTTAAAAAGATAAACTGAAGGATTTTCCCGAAATTTAGAAAAGAACTGCTCTCTCCACTTTCTGAAAAGTCTACCTGCTCCAGAGAGGGAAAGCAGACTAAAACTTGTGTGAGAGACGTGCACGAGTCCATTTCTGGAAAGAGCCAACAAGATTTATTTTATTTGTGCTATACAAATAAAAGACTCTTCCACTGCATCCCACAGATCAGTAAGTGGATGCAATACCTTCCTTCAGCTAAACACTGACAAAACCAAAATTCTTGTATTTGGCCGCCAGAACCACCATCAGTTATGTTTAGCTGTGCATATATTTTTAGCTTTCTTTTTACTCTACTGTGATTATTTATGGTCCTATCTTGTTTTGTTTGAGTCGCCTTGTGTATGAATTGTGGTATACAAATAAACTTGCCTTGTCCTGCCTACTTAATATTCACTTATATTGTTTTATGTTTGTGTGCTCCTCATTCTGTTCTGTAACCTGTGGTGCAACACAGATTTCCCCACCGTGGGACAAATAAAATTAAATCTTAATCTTTAAGGGCGTTGACACCGGATCATGCGTCGCGGGGAGTTTTCAGACAAAGTCAGCTTCAAACAAAATCACCAGGAAAACAGAGCTCCAAACCAGTGGTGTAAACTCTGCAAACACCAAATGAAGAGTCTGCCACGGGGAGAAATGAGAACATTCAAACTTTTCACATAATAGGTTTGTTGCCTGGATAAGTTTGGTTGAAGTGTGGACAGTGTAGTGGGACTTTCACACATTTACACTCAGAACCGGGTCAGAACATCTCAAACGCTCGTGTTGCACATTTGGCCACGTTCTTAACACTGTCAGAAGACAAATTGTGCTTGTGTGCATTGTGCTGTATTTACAAACTACAGCCATGTTCCCCTAGCCTGGCTCTGCCAGACCCTTGTAGTTCCGCCATGCTCCACCAGAGGCGTTTGGCTGAACCACATGGGTCTGGTATCGAGCCCATAGCGAACGCCTTCCCCAGATTATTTTTTAATCGATCAATCAGGATTGCCGGTGTTACGTGGGGTTTGCACTGCCTCCTCAAGCTGCTCTCATGCAGCAGCGAGAGGAATCCAAGATGGCGGACGTAAAGTCCACGAATCTTTTTAAAAGAGTAAATACGATCGAATTAAGGGTGTATACAGACCTGCACATTTGCTCCACTTTAAACGAACCAGGATTTGTTTGGAACTCTGATCCGAATCTTTTATGCAGGTCTGAATACACACAAACGAATCCTGGTCCGGACCAAAGAACCGAACCGAGACCCACTTTTTGAGGTGGTCTCGGTCCGCTTCCAAACGAATTCTGGTCCAAGTCGAATCAGGTCTGAATACATCCGGTGTCGATCCGACACAACTCCAAGATACGTGCGCATTTTTTGGGCTTAACAAGCCGCAGACAGAAACTGAGGAATTAGCCATGCGTCACAGCGGCTAACTATGATGCTAACTATGCTGCTAACGCTACACAACAACACTGAGCCGTGTGCAGACCTGGAGCAGTGAGGAGACGCTGTGCAACAGGCTTATGGAGTTACAACTGTTCACAGTTTACAGTGATGTTAATGGCAGCATCTTTAAATACTTTGCATTATTAAAAACCTGACACTGTTTGACTCACGTCTCGAAAAGAAATATCCCCCATCATGTAGTGAATTGTGTTCTTTGGTTCCTACCTGATCCTCAGCGTCTGTTTGTCCCGTGGTTATTATAGATCCATGGTTTATCCACAATGCTGAACAGGACCGTTATTATCATAGATCCATGTGTGGGACAGGGCACGGAGCGCAGACAGTCTCCTTCGGCTTTCTCCTCACGCATTCTCCGACGCTGTTCCAATATTTAAAACAACGTGTTTGGCCTGTGTCATATGAGCTGCTGTTGATGTTGAAGGTGGTTTTGGTCTAAAAAGAGCAAACATAGGCAGAGCAGACATGCTGCACATACGAGCCCTCTGTTTTCCTCCGGTTCCGCGTCTATCCTCCGTGAGCTCTCGCTGTCCAATAGGAGCCGATCGTCACACGTGTCAATATGTTTAGATAAAAAAGTTCACTTGCAAAAAGGACAGTCTGAATACGAACCGGAGCAAAAGAAAAAAGTTTGGTCTGCTTTTGATTCGGATCAAGCAAGCGGAGCAAAGGACACGGATGTCACTTTTAATGCAATTTGAGGCGAGATGTAGATGGTTCTATGTTGATACATGTGTGTTTTAAGAGTCAAATGTTCCTGTAAAGTTTGGTTGAAGCACTGGTTCAGTGTTCCTGTTTACACACTATGCAGCAGGGTTGCCAGGTTTGGTGGTTCCCGCATATTTTTTTCCAAGAGACGTAGGTATTAAATAAACAGAAAGACAATAAACAGAATCATGATAGCCCAAGTTGATTATATTACGTTTTTAGCCAAAAAATCATACTGATTGTTTTTTGTGTGTGGGTATTCTCGTGGATTTTGGGTTGGAAAATCTTGCTGGGATTTGGCAACCTATGGGAGCCGTGTGCTTCGATGTGAGTGGTTGAAAGCAGACTTCATTCAAGATAACTGACAAGTGGTCTATCCAATCACATACAAGGATTTTTTTTTACAAGGCCCTGCCTTCTGAAATCCAACCACTATGGCTCTGTACCAGACTCATGTGTGAAGTGCAGCAAACTACATGGGTCTGGCGAGAGTCAGGCTAATGTTCCCCTGTAGTTTTAACACTGCTGTTTGTTTCATGAGGCACGGCCCATGGCACAGAGGTTGGAGATTGAATTTGAATCCCAAAATGGTGAGTGTGACACAAACATACACACATGGTCCATCTTGTGGCCATACATGCATATGAAAGCCAGATCCTGTCAGACCTCAAAATGCGCAGGGCAGGGCCAGGTTAGTACTGTGATGGGAGACCTCTGAACACCAGGTGTCACAGTAAGGCGGTTCCAGCTGTTAAGTGCAAAACTGTCACTGTGTCCTTAGGCAAGACACTTCACCCACATCAGGAGGAGCCTGGTGTGTGTGTGTGGGAATGGTTGGTGGTGGTCGGAGCAGCTGATTGCACATACTGGTTGCCTCGCTTCAGTGTGTCCCAGGGCAGCTGTGGCTACAGTAGTAGTTTATCACCACAGTGTATGGAGTGAAAGGATGACATGTGAAGTATCTTTGAGAGTCCAAAAACACTTTAAAAAAACGGATGCATCATTATCATCTGTTTACAGTCTGATGATTAATCTCAGTGGCACAGTAGCAGCATCTTGGCTCGTGTTGCTCACCTCCAGGTCGCTGACCGACAGGTGCAGAAGCTGGCTCCAGGACTGGTCAGTGAAGCCTGAGGGATGTGCCAGAGCCCCATCTCCCCCCAGGACACTCTGAAACACACACAGAGGGGCTTACACAGGGCCGTGTGCAGACGGGAGAGCAGCACAGGACACCAGCTGTACCTCCGGCTCCAGAGTGGAACTGTGGACCAGCTGAGTGAGTGGCACCAGCTCATCCTCCTCTTTTATCTTCACCTCGGAATTCTACAAATAAACATCCAAGTTACACGAGGATTAGATGAAAGTCCCGTCTCAATGCAGAGAAGCACTTCACACATGTTCATACTTCTGAATACTGTGTTTATTCAGTTTTCTAATCTGTGTCTTCTTGGTTAATGCACATAAAGGAATTTTTTAAAAATCAAAGCTTAGTGTACTAAATGAGTCTTAATGATTCTTAAAAAGTACATGTAAAGCTGATACATATCTAATAAGGTGAGAGATCAATCAAATTAATTTCTATATATATATATATATATATATATATATAAATTAATTAATTAATAATTAAAAGGGACTTTTATAAAAAGTCCTTTTCCTTTTGCCTTACTACTCCTGATATCCATGTTACACTTGTGCAGGGCGTTTCAGTTTGTTTTTTCTACCCTCATCAATATTCTGATTCTGTCAATGGAACACATTTATTTGTAACTTTACCATCTACCAACTTCAAACTACATAATTTTCCTTGTCCACTTAAACCTTGTGCTATCCTCGGGTCAAAATGACCATAGATGATTAAGTAGAAGGACCCAGGGTTGGTTAAGTTCAGAAAAATGATCAAGCTAAAACAATTTTTATCTAAGGTGTTTTTATAATCACTGTGGCGGGTCACTTTGACACAAGGATAGCACATTCTCCCCAGATCACATAAGAGTGTTATTAAACTGTCATTTATCCAACAATTAGTGTTAAAAAAAACATTGTATGAGTAGAAGTTCAAACTAAAATGTTCTGGGTTAATACCAAGACTGTATATATTAACGGACAGAGTCACGCCTATCTCCGCCGTTCTAACTGATGGGCCAAAAAATGTGCTCTACTGGAGCTATCCAAAATGGCCGCGAGTGGTCCCGCCCACAAGAAAATTGTGAAAAAACGCATCTTCGCATGAGTCAGCCGGCGCAGCTCCATTTATTTGAACGAGAGACTTCAAAAAAAGTAAATTAGAGTGGTCCAAAAAAATTCACCCCCCTCAGCATTGACACACATGTGGAACGGAGCTTTGGGCCAAGAGCCAACTTTTGGTCCATCCTGTAAAGACGTTTTCGAGAGGTAAGAAGATGCTATATGTTAGCATTGGCTAATTCTTATTCTGGGTCCACCCCCATCGGCCCGGGGTGGTGTTGCAAGCATGTCAGCGCACGTCATTTTGGCCACTTTTGAGCTGGGACCCGCCCCCACTGGTTAATACCAGCTGGTAAACAGTTCTAAATCATTTAAAAAGCCCAATTCAACATCATTGACACCAATATCAGAACTGAAACTTGATGCACATGATATTGAAACTTGCATTAGTAAAACCCCATTATCCTGTGTGGGATTCCCAGATAGACTTTGATCCATAGGTTTGTTCACAGCCAATAAAAGCATTGAATGCCATAATATAATAGAGTAAAAGATCAGGGAGGGGCCTCAACAATCTACTTTTCCCACTCAGCTTGGAGCTAAAAATAGCAGATTTTCTGCATGTACTGGAGCACAGGCCCTGCCACAGCCTGCCTCATGTCATCTAGAGCTGGACCATGAACAATGAGCAAGTCACTGAAAGGAATAGTTCACCGTTTTTACATACTGACATATGTTCTTACCTTACCTTAGACTAGTTAATACGTACCTGTCTGGTCTTAGTCCGTGTGCTCTGTCATGCAAACGGAGCAAAAACGGGAGCACAACCGCAGCCTCCTCTGTATATTTTGTAGCACCAAAAGGTAGCTCCCGCTAGAAGCTACCAAACTCTTCCAAGTGTTCCCTATTAAATGTATATAGTTACGTGACGTGTTACACTGCAAAGTATAGTAACACAGAAATGTAACAGTCGATTTTCTCAGCGGATAAAACGGGTACTATATTGTGAGGCGTAGTAATCTGAGGAGCGCTACGTCCGCGCACTAACTTCTCTCCGTACTACAAGTCACGCTGCTTCTATTGACGGAAGTGAGCGAGAGAGAAGTCTCCGGAGAGAAGTTAGTGCGCGGACGTAGCGCACCTCAGATTACTACGCCTCACAATATAGTACCCGTTTTATCCGCTGAGAAAATCGACTGTTACATTTCTGTGTTACTATACTTTGCAGTGTAACACGTCACGTAACTATATACATTTAATAGGGAACACTTGGAAGAGTTTGGTAGCTTCTAGCGGGAGCTACCTTTTGGTGCTACAAAATATACAGAGGAGGCTGCATTTGTGCTCCCGTTTTTGCTCTGTTTGCATGACAGAGCACACGGACTAAGACCAGACAGGTACGTATTAACTAGTCTAAGGTAAGGTAAGAACATATGTCAGTATGTAAAAACGGTGAACTATTCCTTTAAATCAACACACTTAAATGGAAGGGCAGCGTGTTGCATTGTCTGGCAGGTCTCAGAATGTTGTTTTGGCAAAGGATGTCCCCCCCCCCAAAAAAAGGACGACTTTTTGCCATTAGGCACTCGGGTGGACCTTCCATAGTTCTGCAGTTTGCTGACTCAGCTGCTCAATGGTTTGGTGCCAGCTGTAAAACAGCCGTTTCAGATCAATGTTTTGTCTCATTCCCATTTATTTTCTGCATAATCAGTCTCTACATGAAAAATGGAAAAAGCACATTATGTTGCATGGTTCCTAGCCTGGCCTAAGCCATCCATGCACTCCGCTCAATTATCATTGCCCTGCATGTTATGTCTGGGTCTGGTCCCTGTGTTAGTGATTACAATTGGTTGAATTCCATCCAACCCATCAGCTGAAATGGAACAGGTTACTTACTATTTATGTAATCAGCGATTTTTTTAATCTTAAATGTTGCAGAAGCACTTTGTTCCTATATGCACTGCCTTGAGTTGAGTTTTTATTTTTGAATGAGAAGGCAATACGTTTAATTTATTATACATTTTAGGAGGAACAGGAAATTAAAACAAATGTAAGTAAGTAATCTTTATTTATATACCGCCTTTACAGACCAGAGTCACAAAGCGGTTTACAATTGTTATTATTTTTGGGCATTTGTCCACTCACTCCACACAGAGATGGGAGTGGGGTCGCCAGTACAGGAGGCGCATGCCAGACCTATTGTGCATGTTTTTAGTGGTAGGGGAAACCGGAGTACCCAGAGGAAACCTACGCAGACAAAAATTAGCAAGATATATATCGTATATTCAGATATAGAAAAATATATTGAGATACGTTTTCTCCTTATCGCCCAGCCGTACTATGATGCCGTTATCAGTGACAGCAGAAGCCAACGTTTGGATGTTCTGGGTGTGACAGGGCTAACTACAAGGCGGGAGATGGGGTGTCCGGTTACACAATGTCCCCCAGGGGCCCCACACCACAGCAGCTGTCCCTGTGCCTCACTGAGGCAGGGGCCAGGACTGGTCTACACCAGGTTTTAGAGAGGTCCATAGGACAAAGGTCTGAGGAGATTAGTGTGCTCAAAGGTGAGCAGACAAGGCCCTTTAACATTCCCTACACGATCTATCCCTTATTATTAAGTCTGTTTTACAGCCGCAGTTCAGTAACCAACCAGTTATTAGCTTTAATAATCTAGTAATTATCAACTTTCTATTAAAAATATAAATGACCGTTTCACGTAATCACATTTGTGACAAAAAACTGCAGCCAAAAAGAAATTACCCTTGAAATAACCATTTGATTAATTGAAAAATGAAACTAGTCGACATTGTCATTAAATGAGCGGTCACCGAAGAGGTACATCTAAATGGATGAAGGAAGAATCTAAATACTTGTTGATAAAATTTGTTTTAGAATAATATTTGGGATCAGCTGCATGAAATGTGTCCACTCAAATGTTTATATATCTTCCTTTGATGTCACAAGTAAATGACACCAGGACAGAAGTATAGGTCATCTTTGGAAAACGGTACAAAGGAAAATGTAACCCTTTCGTTTTTGCTCAAGGACACAACATTGAAATAAGCAATTATGAATTATTTAACATTTTTCAACAAAGCCAGAAAGCCAGGCATTGACACACGCAGTGCAAGTAAACTTCTTGTCCCCACTGAACATGTGGAGTGGTATATTGTGCTAAATGTAAACTTTTAAAAAACAGCTCTGTCATCTGTTTGCTGACGTATAGGCTCAGGGTGAGAGGGGAGTAGTGACAGGTGCAAAAGACAGCCCCATGAGTTCGCAGCTCAAATATCCTGAAAGAGAAAGTACAAATATTCTTGACATCACAATAGAGCCTTTTCTCTTCAGTACATTCTTAGAACTATTAGTTAGATTTTCAAGAGAACTATCTAAAAATAATCTTAAGAATTGATCCAGATTGGAGTCTTCTGTATGATGAGTTAATTAATACTTGTATCTTTGTCCAAATCTATTGTGGTGGCATTGACAGGATATCTATACAAGGATGCCAGAGTTTGGTTTAACATGACTGATGTAAACAGAGAGAGAGGAAGTGATTGAAGTAAATAAGTATAGTATATCAATATTCTGGGATACATGCCACAGTAATTTTGTCTTAGAACATATTGCAGTGTTTCTCTTTCAATTAAACAGAAAGACAGCAGTCTGGTCAATTTACTTCAGGTTCAGACCTGTGAAGGAAGACATTACATCTTACATAACCAGGCCCAACATTGAAATGACAGTTTATGAGAACAGAGAGGCTTGAAGAAGAATAGTAATCAAGGCCAGCCTCATCTCCTAAAATATATTGTGTAAGTTAAATTAAGCAATCCTTTAAAGTGCATTAAAGTAATACTAACTAAGTGTTGTTCGGATTCATAATAAGTCACTCTTAAAAAATATATATCACACTTCTGTTTACTTGCTTACATAATTCATTTTCTTGGTTATGTGGCTATAAAGTTGTGTAACCTCAAGAAAACTTAACATGAGGAAGTCATTACCAACTGTAGTGTGCTGACAGACTGGTCCAGTTTGTTTAATCAGAGACATCGTAAATAGATGTGGGCACTGTTGTATGTAAATCTGCAGGAGAAACGCTTTCAAAGAATGCTGTTGATCTCTACATAAGAAAATAAGGTTCAACATGTTTTCAATTTGCACATTTTAAAGACGAAAGCCCCAGCTGAAAGATCAAGGCTATGCTCACACTCAGAGAGCAGCCGTCCTCCTGTGGACTCACCACCTGCAGAGGGTCAGTGAGGGGCTGGTGCGATGAGACTTGGGTGGCATCTCTGATTGCCACCCCCCTGACCCAGAAATGGATTAAAGGGTAGAAAATGGATGGATGGATGGACATTTTAAAGACAACAAACTCTCCTGGCCCTGATCTGAAGTCTCCACCCTCCAGTTCATATTAGCTTGTATTGCCCCTTTAACATCTATCAGAATCAGAATTATTTGTATTTCCATTGTTCCAAGTAACAGGAAGTCACAGACTAGGAAATTGCTTTGGCTCAAGGTGCAAAGAAGTTGTAAGCGTAAAAAGGTAAAGGCATGCATTAAAAAAACGTCATAGCCTTTCTAAAAAAATACTACTAAAGTGCACAAAATGGACATTTAACAGCTTGATATGGTAGTATAGAGGACACTACCACAAGCTGGTTAATCTTCATTTACCACGTCCTGATGGCAAAACCCTCCAGATCTTGTAAATTCCTGGGCTGTCTTGCATAAAGTGCACATTTGAGATCACTCACGAGCAGCTCAATTATATTATTTTAAAATATAATATACATGTACTTGACATTGATGGCTTCACACAATAACCAACACGGATAAATCATTTATAATCTTCAAAACATGGTTGAACAAATGAAATGTCTGCCTTAGTATACAAACGTTTTAGCACTGTATTGGTTTATGTAGATAATTGGGTATATTTATGTTTGTCTGACAGTAAACATGGACTAGTTTTAACACATTTCTTTTGATGGGACACTCCTATTCCTCAAGTTAGGCAACAAAACTCACCACACTGCAAGTAAACTGCTTCAAATGACTAACTTTTGATCTCACACTTACCTTGTGTACTGTTACCTGTCCATTTGCTATGCCTGCATGCACATTGATACAACCTGCAGTCACATAATAATACTTACATCCACTTCTTTAGGCACAGCACAGGCCCCAGTGTCACATGGCCCTGCTCCAGACAGACTGTCCTCCTCCCCGCTGTCAGGCAGGTGTTCTGGACCATCCTCGCTGTCTTCCTCGGTACCACCATCCTTATTAGCTTTGTCAGTGGTAGCATGCACCAGCCATGCGTTCAGCTGGGGCGAAGGGAACCGCGGCGTGCCCAGCGATCGAACCTCATCCAACAGGCGACGACTGGCGAAGAAATAGTCCAATTCTGGGCATTTGGGATGAACGCTGTACCCGTCTAAAGTGTCCCTCAAGCTGTGGAAGGGTGTCTGTGTGTATGCCGAGCTGGGGCCCAAGCTAATCTCAATCAACGGGGAATAATATCCGTTTAAGTAGCTGTCTATGTCCACACGAACTCCAATCAAACTCAGTAAAATCGTCAGCTGAATCAGGCCGTCTGTAAAGTATTTTTTCGCGAATTGCATCTTCCAAAGTGATCGCAAAACAGCGATTAATGGCGAAATAAGGACCTAGCTATCCCCCCTTCAGCCAAAAAAAAATAGTGGACAAAGAGAAAGCTTAACAAAAGAGCACGCCTTCCCCTGTCAGACAAAGAGGTCCGCTTAGCCCCGGCGAGGCGACAGCAGCAGCAGTGCTATCACGGTTAGCCGCTAGTTAGCACCCAGCTAGCGGCTTCAAGTCACCGGTTTAGGGGGATATCCTTATGCAGACATGTCATTGAACCTATTGCATAACATCTTACAATACATACGGGTTTAGCAGATGGATAAAGTCGAGTACCCACCCTCTAATTGAGCTAAATATTGGTAATGTAGTAGTTTTATAGCCGAGCGCTGTTAGCCTTCCGCGGTGCTGTGTGGGAACTTTCGGTTTTGAGGTGTGCATACTGCACGCGGACAGGGCCAGGGCTACAACCGCAACAGAGTCTGATTGGATGATGAGAGTGTCATTCAGGAGATCAGCCAATCACAGCAGAGTGTTGATCTGTCTAGGTCAGCCCCTCAGTCTAAATCAAGTTGAAAGCGCAGACTACATGGTTGAAAGAGTACAAATGTGTAGATTTGAGAAGCTGATAGAGGCGTGTTCTATTCAGAAGACTGGATTTTCCTCACTTATTTGTTAGTTTGACACTGTGCTTGTCACTGGATGTGTTTTTGTTTATGTGAAAGGAAGTAGAAGGCTGCGTTTCCGGGATGGGTTTGTGCTTCTGTCGGTGTGAGCAAGAGAGGAAATCATAATTCGTACACAATACAATGTTGCAGTTTTTCACGTGTTGGTTGTGTACACCTGTCCTAACCAAATAAATAGATACATTATTGTCGTTTAATAAAGCAATTAAAAGTGTAATTTCACTATTGGAAATTATTGGTTGTATTGGATGTATTTCAGCCAGTAAACATGCTTCAAACACACCCTTCATGGACCATCAATTCTAACATAATTAAAGTTATTAATTACTAATTATTATGTTTGGAATGTGCAACATTCCATTAACTATTTGTAGTGATTGAGCTATAATGTGTTTCTTTCTGATGTATAACGCTTTCTCTATACGCTCAAAGTGATTAGGCAAATGTGTGCTGTTAACTCCTCAAAGTCAGATACGTTAAAAGGATGAGCCTTTACTGTCTCTAGAGCAGACCTGCTCTAAAGACTGTTCACATTTCAATAGGCCTCTAGAACTTTTTCAGTGATATTTAGTCAAAAACATGAATCTGTAAATCAGTTTACACTAATCTGACTTCATAACCTTTGAGCAGTTTCGGTTCAATCCAAGCAGAACCCAAACCCTTTATCAATATAATAATAATTTACTCAAAATACTTTCACAATGTAAAAGTGTTCAAACAAAACAATAGCCACTGATGCTGAAGATGGGCTATAAATAAAGACATAGAAAAGCTTGGAAACTCCATGTTTCCCTCTTCTTCTCTCCTTTAAATATTTTTATAAGGAATTTTATAATTTGTTAATGTTTGTTAATATAGCGCTTTTCAGGACACTCAAAGACACTTCACATGTCATTGTTCTTCCAATACACAGTGGTGATAAATTTCTACTGTAGCCACAGCTGCCCTGGGGTGATTCCATTGATGAAATATATGAAATGAAATGAAATGAAATGAAATGAAGGAGTTCAAGTCTCTTTGGGTCTTGATCACGAGTGAGGGAAGGATATCGAAAGACAAAGCTCTCGATTTACCCGTCAATCTATGTTCCCACCCTCAACTGGTGATGAACTTTGGGAGATAATGACTGCAGAATGTGTTTACTGTATTTTTTCATCAAACAACCCAATGTGTAATGTTCAACTCAATGTTCTCCAGGGGGCATCACTTGAGCTTTAAGTCCATTATTACAGATCTTTCGGTATCTTAACTAAACGAATAATCGAGAGATTAATCAGTCAACTAGTCAATAATCATGTCGAGTCCTAGTCTTTATCAAGTGTAAGTCTGATTACAACCCTGATTACACTTGTTGCATACACGTGAACAGTCTTTCAGAGCTGTGAGTGTGATCACGCCCTAAACCTTTGCCTGAAGCCAATAAGAGGTTTTCTTCATGTGAATATAGTGCACACACTGTACATTAATTTAACGCCTCATTTGACTTTGTGGCTTACTTCTGTGATGGAACAGTTCAATAATCCCAAATGAATATAGGCTTGGAGTTGGAGTTTCCCTTTTGCTCTGTTTGAAACAAGAGGCCTTCACACGACCAAGCGACACAGCGAGCTGCTGCATATCTTTACTCCCTCACAAAAGCTCACTGTTCATTTTGCAGACCTGAATTTTTAGCCACATGACTCATAATTGCACTATAACCAAACACTGAAGGAGCCTCGCGGTTAGTGAAGACCTCTGGAGAGAGGTCTCTATAAAATCATAGTAATATATATTGTTATGTGATGTCAACGTTATACTTCCATCCATTTTCTTCCCCTTCATCCGTTGCCGGGTCGCGGGGGCAGCAGTCTAAGCTGTGACACCCAGACTTTCCTATCAACACACACCTCCTCCATCTCATCCGGGGCCAGGCCAGCTGAGAGACATAGTCCCTCCAGCGTGTCCTGGGTCTTCCCTGAGGTCTTCTCCCGGTGGAACGTGCCCGGACCACCTCTCCAGGGAGGCGTCAACGAGGCATCCGGAACAGATGCCCGAGCCACCTCAACTTGTTCCGCTTGACATGGAGGAGCAGCGACTCCAAGCTCCTTCCGTGTGACTGATGTGTGACTTGACGGGTAAATAGAGAGCTTTGCCTTTCGGCTCAGCTCCCTCTTCACCACAATGATCCAATACAATGACCGCATCACTGTACACGCTACACCAATCTGCCTCCACGCTCCATCCTTCCCTCACTCGTTAACTAGACCCAGAGATTTCCTTGAGGAAGGACCTCTCCACCTCCTGGGAACAGAATGTACACTAAAACATAACTTTAAGTTATTATTATTATTATCAACTTGCAAACATAATATGGGCGAACATGACATGTACATCATGTTAACGTCAATTAGCTCAAGAATAAAAACACTAATGCATCTATTTTATTTTTGCCCATATGTTTCATTATTCTGGACGATGGTCCAAAGATGGTTGTGTGGATTAGGGATCGAGATTGACATCAATCCCATGAATATAATGTTGGGAATCTTGGACAGCAACTCAACGAATGTAGAGAATGTAATCATCCTGATGGGTAAAATTTTTATCTTTAAATGTAAAACCAATACAGAACTCTGTTTGAATAACTTTAAAAATAAACTGAAACAACAATATGAAATGGAAAAAATAATAGCTTCAAACACAAAAAGGATAATTGTGCACAAAAAAAAATGGAAGATGTTGAAATGGGACTGATGTCGCATAGAAAATGGGAAATGAGAGAATGGATAAGTGGATGAAGGCCTCGGGGACTTGTGTGTGTTTGGTGTGTATGTTTTTATTTTGGTTTGTTTTTCTTATTTTTTGTTGTTGTTTATTTAGTTATATATATATATATTTTTTTGTCTTGCCTGTTAGTTATGTATCTGTCGACGGGCTTGTGTATTTTGTTTTGAGGTTGCTTGGTGGGTGGGATTTGTCATTGCGTTATGTTGTGTTGTGTGTCCTGTGTGTACATGTCTGGTGAGTGTCTGAAAAAAAAAAATACAGAATAAAAACACAAATCCATCCATCCTTTTTCTTCTGCTTCATCCGTTGCCGGGTCGCGGGGGCAGCGGCTCTACTCCGAGCTCCTCCTGTGTGACTGAGCTCCTCACCCTATCTCTAAGGGAGCGCCCAGCCACTCTGCGGAGGAAGCTCATTTCGACCGCGTCCTTTTGGTCATTACCCAAAGCTCATGACCATAGGTGAGGGAGGGAACGAAGATTGACCGGTATCACTGCGACCGCTGCACCGATCCGCCTGTCAATCTCACGCTCCATCCTTCCCTCACTCGTGAACATGACCTCCTCCACTTGAGGAAGGACCTCTCCACCCACCTGGAGAGGGCAAGGCACCTTTTTCAGGTCGAGCACCATGGCCTCGGATTTGGAGGTGTTGATTCTCAAACCAGCCGCTTCACACTCGGCTGCAAACCGTCCCAGTACATGTTGCAGGTCCTGGTTCGTTGGAGCCAACAGGACAACATCGTCCGCAAACATCAGAGATACCATACAATATGTATCTATATGCCTCCTGAAAGTATTTATACAGCTTGAACCTTTGCACACGTTGTTATGTTTACAACCATGAACTTAAACATTTATTTTTTATTTTTTTTACTGAATGTTCACACACAGGTAACAGACAACTGTTAAGTGAGACAAAAATAATACATTTCGCAGTATGACTGATTTTCACATAGAGACAGAAAGTTTTGTCCATACCTCTATACAAAACAACTCGAGCTCTGTCAAATTAGTTGGAGCGCATGTGTAAACATCAGTTTTCATGTCTTTCCACAGATTTTCTATTGGATTTATGTCAGGACTTTGACTGTGCCATTCTAACACATGATTATGTTTTGTTTTCCATTCCATTGTGTTTTTAGTGTTGTCTTTAGTTGCATTGTCCTGCTGGAAGGTGAATCTTTGCTTCAGCCTCAATTCTCTTTCTGACTTTTGCTTGTTTTCCTCCAAAAAGTTCCATCTTCCAAGCTTTAATTTTTACTATCGCCCTAGTCCCAACTGAAGAAAAGTAGCCTCATAAAATGATGCTCCCCACCATATTTGACGCTGGGAATGGTGCAGTGAGCAGTGTTAGTTTTGGTCCAAAAAGTTATTTTTTTGTCTCATCTGACTAAAGCATCCTCTTCCACATGGGATTTCTAATGGCCTCCTTTCAATATTGACTTTCTTCTTGCCACTCGTCCATAAAGGCCAGAATTGTGTAGAGTACAGATTCCTCCAGCTCAGTGGCAGTACTTTGCAGCTCTTCCAGAGTCATCTACACATGGTTACCATTCTGACTAGTGCTCT